TTGATTTCTGATTCAGTTTTCTGCCACACAATTTTATTCATGTGTGTTCTTGGCCTAAAGTCCCTTTCACATACTTTTTTTTTTTAACTCTTTCTGCCTTGTGGGCACTAAGAGAGCCTGTTTTAGCAAGCTCATTATGAGTTCAGCCAGGTCCATACTAGCACAGCCATGTGGTGAGATAGAAGCAGACTTATCTGGTTAGACCACCCTGAAAAAATTCCTGGAGATTTTTTGACCCGTCCAGATTCGATCTCAAGTCCCCAGAGTAGTAGACTGCCATCTTGACCACTCAACCATCTGGTTGTCAAATTGTTTGCACTAAGATTTGTAAAATTTAAACATAATAAAGAACTTTCAATGTAAAGACACCATTTTACCCCATTTACCACTTCAAATGATTTCTTATCCATCCCTATCTAATGTATAGTAGTACCCACAGAGCCCATTAGCAGGACTGTAGATCTGGTGCTTCTTTTGTGTACTGTACATAAGACATCATACGAGTGTAAACAGAAGTACTGACTGATGCACTAACTCCTGAACCAGATACTCCAGGAAATTGAGTTCTGGCTAAGCAACAGATAAACAATGATAAGAGATCTGGAACACTGCAACAGAAAAGGTATTTTGTGTTCTACAGTCCACAAATTCTGAATTAGTCATCACTGTGCAGCAAAAATGTTTACCTTACATGGTGAATCAGTTTGAAATTGTCTGTAAAACTCATGTTGCACAATGGTGACTGATTCAGAATTGCGGACTGCAAAACACAAAATGCCTTCTCTGTTGCAGAGTCACCATTTTTGTTTACAGCACTTTCTAGAGGCAGTAGACAAAAAGACATTTGAATGCAGATGGGAGATGAAACGTAGTTATTCTATTGATTGGTGTACATTATATACTTCTCATATAATAATTAACATAATTATAGTAATTTAAAATGGCAGCACTCATTTTGAAAGATTCTATATTTAGGATTAGAAGTTTATATTGAAATTAAGATATCAAAGATAAAATAGCACTTATTTTTATATAATTTTATTTTTTACCTCACAGAATGCAGTTAAATGATTCAACAGACCACAAGGAGCACCATCAGGTGTATTGACTGGACATAAAAACCCTAAAATTTATAAAATTTAAAAATGTTCATAGATTATTCTTTTCATAATCAACTAACAACTAAACATTAAAAAAAATCAAAAATTAATTTAAATTTATAAATAAATACAATAAAAATAAACAAAATTTTTTGTAAACAGTATATTCTATGTATAAATTTATATGGAGAAACTTAAAAATGTAAAAATAATTCAATTCAATTAATGGGGATTTAATCTGGTGTTGACCAGCTGAGATGACCTGTTACTTATCTTTTTTGAACAACGCCTAATTTTTGTATTTTTATCAGGTACGTGCAAATTTTATTATTATTTTTGGTTTCTGTAAATGTATTTAAAACTATACATATCTTTACTATTGTGGCACTAGGTCATGGCAGTTTGGTCATTGGTTTTATTTAATTGTTGTATACTGTATACTGTAATTCTAATTATCTGAATTTTATATGTAATCTCATTTTGATGCATTTCTATTTTGTTCCCTGTACAAAGAATAGAAACCATGTGCTAACTTAAATAAAAAAAATAAATAATATTCTATGAGCAATTTCTTACTAGAAGCTAAACTATGGCTAAAAGCTAATTCAAATAGAAATTAGTTTACTTTCTATTAAAATAAAATTATTTTTCATTTAATGTTTCTTTTTTGAATGAATGTTAATTGTGTAATGCACAGAACTTGGGTTTGCAGAACAATTGTATCATTGTAACTTAGAATTAAGAATTAACAGAATATAATTTTGTCCTATTATGCTTATCAATAAGTCACAATGACATAAATGCTCATGTAAACATTGCATAAGATATTCAAATTTTGCAAAGTAATAATAATTTGTATAGATAACTTTTTATATGAAACTGGTTTCCAACAGATTTAGAAGTTCAACAATAACAATAGTAGTAATTCAAGTATAATCACAAGAAATATTTTCTATGTATATTAATTAATTATTATAAAATGGCAAAATGCTTAATTTTAAGGGTAGAGATTAGTTTCAAAAAAAAATTTTAAATGTTAATAATGAATAAAACCTTCATTAAGTCTGATCCCATTTGAGATACAACACACAACCCCTCTATTCTCATCATACCATTGACCTTTAACCATCAAAATTTAATAGTATCAATCCCTAATACAAATCTCCCTGCAAAATTTCAGAAATTTTCAACAAAAATCACAGGAATTATTAAGCTTCAAAAAAGGTGAACAAAATAGTGCTCCCCACATACAAAAACATCCATACATACAGAAACCCCCCAAATTATTTGCATTTCTCAATGTTTCAAGGTGCCCTGAATCCAAAAAGTAAAAATCTTGGAGGATCATTTTTTGACCTCTTGCAATACTTTCCTTTTGTTATATATAATGGAGCCAGGAAAGTAACAAAAACAAGAAATAACAATTATTAAAAATGAGGAAAAAAAAAACATTTAATGTATAATAATAATTAGAATGAAACACTACAGTATAGGTAAAAAAAAAGTTTAAATGATTAAATCCAAATAAGATTAATGTATTAAATCCAAAAATTATAAAAATTATTGTCTTAGTTTTAGTATATAAATTTTCAACATTACTGTTATTAACATGAATCAGTAAAAAATTTTTGATCTTTCCACAATAATTAAAATACATTATCCATTTATAAAATGCTAGTGAGATAGTTCCATACGTCAAAACTTCAGTTTTACATTTTTTGCAAATTCTCCATATTCTGACTAGTCAACATTATAATTCTTTATTATTTACTTTTTATATATTTATAAATTTGTCACGATCATTTACTTATGTATTTAAAAGTATCTATTTACATATTTATTTAAAAGTAATTTAAACTGTAAGTTTTCCATTTAGAATTTATGTTTGAATTTATTCCTTTCTCTGGCATATTCCACATAGCATGTTATTTAAATGTGAAATTTTTGAACCTTGTTCCATTTTCAAACATATGTTAATGACCATCTTATAATTTCAAACCGTAACCCAAAACTGGTCTATTAACTAGACTGAAAACATTAGTTAAAATAAAATGATTCTGTGGGAAATTAAAAGGTGTTAACTATATGATCTTAGTAGTTTCAGCCAGACACCTATACTCATTATAACTCTGTAATTTAAACTGTAAAAAAGATTTAATAATTCAAATATATATATATCTAAAACTGAAGATTAAATAAAATTTGTTTGATGGAATACAATGCAAATGGGCAATGTGCCAAAGCAGATGCTTCTCAGGAGGACTTTCTATACAAAACTGGGCAATATTTAGATATTTGAAAAAAACCTAGAATATTCCTACTGGTCAGCCTGTTAGGCACAAATACAGGGTGTACAAATACAAATAAATGAATAGCATGGTTTTAAAAATTAATAATAAATCTATTTATTACCTTATATGGGCAAACCTTACAGCATAAGCAGTGGCAACTGTCCAAGTTTTTTATGCGCTACCCACTTTTCGCTTGTCATGCACTGCAGTCCATCACGGAGGACATGCTACTCCACATATGGAAAAAATTTTATTACCATGTAGATGTGTGTCGAGTGACCATGGGTGCACATATTGAAGGATTATGATTAATGCACAAAAAACTTGGACAGTTGCTGCTGCTTATGCTGTAAGGTTTGCCCATATAAGGTAATAAATAGATTTATTATTAATTTTTAAAACTGCGCCATTCATTTATGAACACCCTGTACAATCGTGTCTGGTGTCCAGTGTTTTACCACTCACTCACTGGTGGGCAACTTAAATAAAATCTCATCTGATATTTTACAACAGATAAAACAAAAAACATTCAATATTAAAGTGACTAATCAATAAATTTTTTCAAATACAATTCAAATCAAATTTAACTATTTGAGTTTAAGGAATTTTGGATAAATTCATCAGCATAAAAAATAATTACAAAATAAATTAATTTTAATACAAAACATTTTATTTCATCCTAAATGTAAAAAAATTCATTTAATTTTCATATAAATCTATTTAGATATTTTCACTTTTAAATAAATTAGTTATTTATTATATCTTGATTAATTTGTGATAAAACATTATTAGTACGAAGTTAAAATTAGCTGGATATAATCATTCACTTTTGTAACCACTTAAAAAAGGGTTTTCTGGACGAATAAAACAAAATATTATGTCCTTTGAATCTGACATTCACCTGAATTCAAGAATTACTCAAAAGACGATTTTATTTCCAGATATTTTATTTAAATGCATTTAGGATCAAATGTTTCGCCAATCCCTCTTCAGTAAAGATATAGTCTGCAACAGAGTTTACACCAATTTTTTGGGCCTTTCCATCATCAATCACCTGTGATTAATGTCAGAAAGACCCAAAAAATTCTTGAACTCAGGTGAATGTCAAATTCAAAGACATAACATTTCATTTTATTCATCTAAAACACCCATTTTAAGTGGTTATAAAAGTGAATAAAACATTATTTAATCAAGGCATTATAAGAGGTAAAATATGTTTGATATTATAAGAGAGGTCCATAATATGTTTATGAAAAAATTCAGACTATTGTATCATTAATAGCATAAACAAAAAATAATAGACAAAAGATGAATGACAAGCATATTTCAAATTAATATTGAAATTTATTAATCATTCATAATTATTTTCATCCATATCAGTGATCATAAACTTTTATTTTTTTTTTAATTTACAGCTCATTTCACAAATATTGACTAAGCTGTAAAATGTGCAGTAGCAGTAGCCAGATGGCCAAGCAGTTAAGGAAAAATTATTTATTTTATTTTTATTTGAATTTGAACATATAAAATTAAAACTATATACTATATTTTAATTATTTTAGCAATATTTTTTCAAAATAATTATTACTGTTTAATTTAAGTCAAATATATTATCATGATAAAATATTTATTATATTATTCTTATTTTTGAAATATTTTATTATTAATAAACAAGCTTACCCCAACTTTCTGGTAATAATTTTCTTACAGTAGTAGTTCTCATTTCAGTGAATATTGCACCTCTATGAATTGATCGAAAGTGAGATAAGTAACGCCAATAATTTAATTTTTCTGCAACAACTGAAAGACCAGTTATTTGTGGCAGTCCCAACAAGGAACGAGCATTCACATTACCAGTTGCCAAAAGATATTCCATAGGTCTGGACAAATCCATAGAAGTGCTCACACAGTTATTCATAATAGCTGTAAATTAATATAAACTACAGTTAAATCATATAGAATGTTACATTTTCAAATGAAATTGTTTTAAATTGAGTTTTCTTGTAAAAGAAAGAAATCTGTAGCATCATTTTCAAATTTTTTTAAAAAATAGCAATTATATTAAGCATGTAAAAACTATGTAACAAATCTTTAGCATGTAAAAACTATGCTATATTGTTGTATTAGAGATCACATATAATAAAATCTTGTCAGAAACTTCATAAAAGCTTTAATTTAAAAAATATTTTTTATAATTCAAAAATTATATTTTGAGTAATTACATCTTAGCATTTAAGTTCGAAGATGCAATTTTGATAAAAAGTTTTATTACTGACATTTCAATACAGTTTGCTTCTAAATATCAATAAAAGTCTAATACGTTTGCAATTATATTAATTAAAAACAATAAATTAAAAGCTCAATTCTCTGTCTTCTATTAAATACATAGATCATTTTTAAAGTAAGAATTGCTTATACTACTATAGCTTCTTGCCCTTATTATTACTACAAGTTATTGTTAATACACAACTAAACTCTTAGATCTTATCACACTGACTCACTTGACAAGAGAAGTTTATTAAATAATNTGGTGCCATGATTTTTGGAGTATAATCTGCAACTTATATGTTGTTTTTACATTGGAAAAGGGAGATTGCAGAATATACAAAAGTGTGACTTATACATGGAAAATTTTGCATCATTTATGAATCACTCTGCAGATGGTACTGAACTAGTGATGTTTAATATTATCAAATAATCAACTATCAATGCAATATTCTCCAATATCAATGTCAGAAAAATGAATACTAGCTAATATCATTCTTGGAATTCAGTGTTATTGAAATTGAAAATTATCAAATTTGACAGCCCAATGCTAACAAACTTTAAATGACAGTTGTTAATAAACATTTGTGTTTTTAACATTGACTATTTATATCAACAAATAAAAGTTGGTGTGGCTAATACAATGATGATGCTTATCTGTTGATCAGTTTACAACAACTTATTTTTATCCTTTGCAGCTTATACTCCAAAAATTACAGCTTATTCATTTTTTGATATCTTTATATTATTAATATGTCTTTTTGATTCATGTAAAATTGTAGCTAAAATGGCTAAATTAATAGTACAATAGCTACAGTTAAAATCTTATTAAATAATAAGATAAACCATATTAATTTATAGTAAATAATAATGTAATAATTAATGAAGTAATTAATTTACTGTAAGTAATGCTGTATATTATATCCAATATTCATATATTAATAACACTTTAAATTAATTATTTTGATAAAAATTATTAGAAAAATAGATATATACTTTAGTTTTAAACATTTCTGGCAGACCAATAATTACAATAATTTAAGAGGAATAATTATTAATTAAAAACAATAAATTAAAAGCTCAATTCTCTGTCTTCTATTAAATACATAGATCATTTTTAAAGTAAGAATTGCTTATACTACTATAGCTTCTTGCCCTTATTATTACTACAAGTTATTGTTAATACACAACTAAACTCTTAGATCTTATCACACTGACTCACTTGACAAGAGAAGTTTATTAAATAATCATATACACCTATATACATGCACACTATTATCAATCTAAAATGCATTTCATGCTTTACAATGGCAAATTTAAGAATTATTTGCAAAAACTAACAATGTAAGTTGACAATCTGAATTTCCACCTGATGGGGAATGTGTTTTAACATGTCTATAATCCTGTCAGTCAGCTTCAAGCTGTTTAAAATTTCTTAGTAATTTCTTAGTAACATTTCATTAAAGGTATTGATCATCAATACCACCAGTTACAAATTGCAATTGGTGATTTTTTTTAAACAAAAAACATTCACCCAACTGAAATTCATTGACAGTTGATTGAAGTATATGGAGAAGGTATAATGAATGAGGAATGTGCAGAAAGGGTGTCAGTTTCTCAATAAAGAGAGACCAAACATACATGATGAAGCAAGATCTGGATGTCCATCTGTCTTCACTAAAGAATGTTTGCATCAACAGCAGTTTTGAAAACAGCTGTTGATGCAACATTCAACAGAACAGGAAGTGATTAACAATTGATAAGCTTCATGCCACTTTCTCTAATGCTTTGCATTCTGTTGTTTATGAAATTTTTAGTGAACATCTTCAATACAAGAAGATTTGTGCAAGACGGGTGCCAAGAATGTTCACACCAGAACACAAACAGAAGAGAATGGACACTTCTCAGGCATTTCTTAATCACTAACTTATGAAAGGGGATCAATTATTGGATCATATAGTGACAGGAGGTGAAACATGGTCATCTCACTATACATCTGAGCCTAGGGACGTCCCAATACAACAAAAGTATTGATACCACCCAGTATCAAAACTGGAAACCTTGCCAACTTTCACTATTTAATCCATGGCTTGATTTTGAAATGTTTTGTGTAATTGAAACTTGTACTTTTAACATAAATAACATGCTTTATTCTAGTTGGTTATTATTAAAACTGATTTCAAATATAAACTAAATGTTAAAAATATACCTTGAACAGTAGTTTACCAATACTGATACAGTATTGGTAAATTAAATGTTACCAATACTGTATCAGATGATTTGAGATTTTAATATATTTTCAAGTTTTTCAAGTAATTGGCAAATTAATTATATACAATAATCTGAACTCTAAGTATACCATATATAGATTCTGAAAATAAAATTTGATGTAATAAATTTATTGATTTTTGGTCATTAATATTAACTTAACCAAAAATAGTGTAAGATTTGGTTTCAGATTTAGCTGCAAAATTCAATTTCAGTCGGATCTTACTTGTCTGTGAAAATGTAACAATACCAGATTAGATACCAGAGGAAAAGTATCAATACCTAACCAAAAGTATTGAATATAAAAAGTACTCAGTATTGAAAGAAAGTATCGATATGTTATCAATATCAGCAGTATCAGGACATCCCTACCTGAGACTAATGGCAATCTATTGAAACCACNATTATATATATCTAAAACTGAAGATTAAATAAAATTTGTTTGATGGAATACAATGCAAATGGGCAATGTGCCAAAGCAGATGCTTCTCAGGAGGACTTTCTATACAAAACTGGGCAATATTTAGATATTTGAAAAAAACCTAGAATATTCCTACTGGTCAGCCTGTTAGGCACAAATACAGGGTGTACAAATACAAATAAATGAATAGCATGGTTTTAAAAATTAATAATAAATCTATTTATTACCTTATATGGGCAAACCTTACAGCATAAGCAGTGGCAACTGTCCAAGTTTTTTATGCGCTACCCACTTTTCGCTTGTCATGCACTGCAGTCCATCACGGAGGACATGCTACTCCACATATGGAAAAAATTTGATTACCATGTAGATGTGTGTCGAGTGTGAAAAAATTCCTGGAGATTTTTTGACCCGTCCAGATTCGATCTCAAGTCCCCAGAGTAGTAGACTGCCATCTTGACCACTCAACCATCTGGTTGTCAAATTGTTTGCACTAAGATTTGTAAAATTTAAACATAATAAAGAACTTTCAATGTAAAGACACCATTTTACCCCATTTACCACTTCAAATGATTTCTTATCCATCCCTATCTAATGTATAGTAGTACCCACAGAGCCCATTAGCAGGGCTGTAGATCTGGTGCTTCTTTTGTGTACTGTACATAAGACATCATACGAGTGTAAACAGAAGTACTGACTGATGCACTAACTCCTGAACCAGATACTCCAGGGAATTGAGTTCTGGCTAAGCAACAGATAAACAATGATAAGAGATCTGGAACACTGCAACAGAAAAGGTATTTTGTGTTCTACAGTCCACAAATTCTGAATTAGTCATCACTGTGCAGCAAAAATGTTTACCTTACATGGTGAATCAGTTTGAAATTGTCTGTAAAACTCATGTTGCACAATGGTGACTGATTCAGAATTGCGGACTGCAAAACACAAAATGCCTTCTCTGTTGCAGAGTCACCATTTTTGTTTACAGCACTTTCTAGAGGCAGTAGACAAAAAGACATTTGAATGCAGATGGGAGATGAAACGTAGTTATTCTATTGATTGGTGTACATTATATACTTCTCATATAATAATTAACATAATTATAGTAATTTAAAATGGCAGCACTCATTTTGAAAGATTCTATATTTAGGATTAGAAGTTTATATTGAAATTAAGATATCAAAGATAAAATAGCACTTATTTTTATATAATTTTATTTTTTACCTCACAGAATGCAGTTAAATGATTCAACAGACCACAAGGAGCACCATCAGGTGTATTGACTGGACATAAAAACCCTAAAATTTATAAAATTTAAAAATGTTCATAGATTATTCTTTTCATAATCAACTAACAACTAAACATTAAAAAAAATCAAAAATTAATTTAAATTTATAAATAAATACAATAAAAATAAACAAAATTTTTTGTAAACAGTATATTCTATGTATAAATTTATATGGAGAAACTTAAAAATGTAAAAATAATTCAATTCAATTAATGGGGATTTAATCTGGTGTTGACCAGCTGAGATGACCTGTTACTTATCTTTTTTGAACAACGCCTAATTTTTGTATTTTTATCAGGTACGTGCAAATTTTATTATTATTTTTGGTTTCTGTAAATGTATTTAAAACTATACATATCTTTACTATTGTGGCACTAGGTCATGGCAGTTTGGTCATTGGTTTTATTTAATTGTTGTATACTGTATACTGTAATTCTAATTATCTGAATTTTATATGTAATCTTATTTTGATGCATTTCTATTTTGTTCCCTGTACAAAGAATAGAAACCATGTGCTAACTTAAATAAAAAAAATAAATAATATTCTATGAGCAATTTCTTACTAGAAGCTAAACTATGGCTAAAAGCTAATTCAAATAGAAATTAGTTTACTTTCTATTAAAATAAAATTATTTTTCATTTAATGTTTCTTTTTTGAATGAATGTTAATTGTGTAATGCACAGAACTTGGGTTTGCAGAACAATTGTATCATTGTAACTTAGAATTAAGAATTAACAGAATATAATTTTGTCTTATTATGCTTATCAATAAGTCACAATGACATAAATGCTCATGTAAACATTGCATAAGATATTCAAATTTTGCAAAGTAATAATAATTTGTATAGATAACTTTTTATATGAAACTGGTTTCCAACAGATTTAGAAGTTCAACAATAACAATAGTAGTAATTCAAGTATAATCACAAGAAATATTTTCTATGTATATTAATTAATTATTATAAAATGGCAAAATGCTTAATTTTAAGGGTAGAGATTAGTTTCAAAAAAAAATTTTAAATGTTAATAATGAATAAAACCTTCATTAAGTCTGATCCCATTTGAGATACAACACACAACCCCTCTATTCTCATCATACCATTGACCTTTAACCATCAAAATTTAATAGTATCAATCCCTAATACAAATCTCCCTGCAAAATTTCAGAAATTTTCAACAAAAATCACAGGAATTATTAAGCTTCAAAAAAGGTGAACAAAATAGTGCTCCCCACATACAAAAACATCCATACATACAGAAACCCCCCAAATTATTTGCATTTCTCAATGTTTCAAGGTGCCCTGAATCCAAAAAGTAAAAATCTTGGAGGATCATTTTTTGACCTCTTGCAATACTTTCCTTTTGTTATATATAATGGAGCCAGGAAAGTAACAAAAACAAGAAATAACAATTATTAAAAATGAGGAAAAAAAAAACATTTAATGTATAATAATAATTAGAATGAAACACTACAGTATAGGTAAAAAAAAAGTTTAAATGATTAAATCCAAATAAGATTAATGTATTAAATCCAAAAATTATAAAAATTATTGTCTTAGTTTTAGTATATAAATTTTCAACATTACTGTTATTAACATGAATCAGTAAAAAATTTTTGATCTTTCCACAATAATTAAAATACATTATCCATTTATAAAATGCTAGTGAGATAGTTCCATACGTCAAAACTTCAGTTTTACATTTTTTGCAAATTCTCCATATTCTGACTAGTCAACCATTATAATTCTTTATTATTTACTTTTTATATATTTATAAATTTGTCACGATCATTTACTTATGTATTTAAAAGTATCTATTTACATATTTATTTAAAAGTAATTTAAACTGTAAGTTTTCCATTTAGAATTTATGTTTGAATTTATTCCTTTCTCTGGCATATTCCACATAGCATGTTATTTAAATGTGAAATTTTTGAATCTTGTTCCATTTTCAAACATATGTTAATGACCATCTTATAATTTCAAACCGTAACCCAAAACTGGTCTATTAACTAGACTGAAAACATTAGTTAAAATAAAATGATTCTGTGGGAAATTAAAAGGTGTTAACTATATGATCTTAGTAGTTTCAGCCAGACACCTATACTCATTATAACTCTGTAATTTAAACTGTAAAAAAGATTTAATAATTCAAATATATATATATCTAAAACTGAAGATTAAATAAAATTTGTTTGATGGAATACAATGCAAATGGGCAATGTGCCAAAGCAGATGCTTCTCAGGAGGACTTTCTATACAAAACTGGGCAATATTTAGATATTTGAAAAAAACCTAGAATATTCCTACTGGTCAGCCTGTTAGGCACAAATACAGGGTGTACAAATACAAATAAATGAATAGCATGGTTTTAAAAATTAATAATAAATCTATTTATTACCTTATATGGGCAAACCTTACAGCATAAGCAGTGGCAACTGTCCAAGTTTTTTATGCGCTACCCACTTTTCGCTTGTCATGCACTGCAGTCCATCACGGAGGACATGCTACTCCACATATGGAAAAAATTTTATTACCATGTAGATGTGTGTCGAGTGACCATGGGTGCACATATTGAAGGATTATGATTAATGCACAAAAAACTTGGACAGTTGCTGCTGCTTATGCTGTAAGGTTTGCCCATATAAGGTAATAAATAGATTTATTATTAATTTTTAAAACTGCGCCATTCATTTATGAACACCCTGTACAATCGTGTCTGGTGTCCAGTGTTTTACCACTCACTCACTGGTGGGCAACTTAAATAAAATCTCATCTGATATTTTACAACAGATAAAACAAAAAACATTCAATATTAAAGTGACTAATCAATAAATTTTTTCAAATACAATTCAAATCAAATTTAACTATTTGAGTTTAAGGAATTTTGGATAAATTCATCAGCATAAAAAATAATTACAAAATAAATTAATTTTAATACAAAACATTTTATTTCATCCTAAATGTAAAAAAATTCATTTAATTTTCATATAAATCTATTTAGATATTTTCACTTTTAAATAAATTAGTTATTTATTATATCTTGATTAATTTGTGATAAAACATTATTAGTACGAAGTTAAAATTAGCTGGATATAATCATTCACTTTTGTAACCACTTAAAAAAGGGTTTTCTGGACGAATAAAACAAAATATTATGTCCTTTGAATCTGACATTCACCTGAATTCAAAAATTACTCAAAAGACGATTTTATTTCCAGATATTTTATTTAAATGCATTTAGGATCAAATGTTTCGCCAATCCCTCTTCAGTAAAGATATAGTCTGCAACAGAGTTTACACCAATTTTTTGGGCCTTTCCATCATCAATCACCTGTGATTAATGTCAGAAAGACCCAAAAAATTCTTGAACTCAGGTGAATGTCAAATTCAAAGACATAACATTTCATTTTATTCATCTAAAACACCCATTTTAAGTGGTTATAAAAGTGAATAAAACATTATTTAATCAAGGCATTATAAGAGGTAAAATATGTTTGATATTATAAGAGAGGTCCATAATATGTTTATGAAAAAATTCAGACTATTGTATCATTAATAGCATAAACAAAAAATAATAGACAAAAGATGAATGACAAGCATATTTCAAATTAATATTGAAATTTATTAATCATTCATAATTATTTTCATCCATATCAGTGATCATAAACTTTTATTTTTTTTTTAATTTACAGCTCATTTCACAAATATTGACTAAGCTGTAAAATGTGCAGTAGCAGTAGCCAGATGGCCAAGCAGTTAAGAAAAAATTATTTATTTTATTTTTATTTGAATTTGAACATACAAAATTAAAACTATATACTATATTTTAATTATTTTAGCAATATTTTTTCAAAATAATTATTACTGTTTAATTTAAGTCAAATATATTATCATGATAAAATATTTATTATATTATTCTTATTTTTGAAATATTTTATTATTAATAAACAAGCTTACCCCAACTTTCTGGTAATAATTTTCTTACAGTAGTAGTTCTCATTTCAGTGAATATTGCACCTCTATGAATTGATCGAAAGTGAGATAAGTAACGCCAATAATTTAATTTTTCTGCAACAACTGAAAGACCAGTTATTTGTGGCAGTCCCAACAAGGAACGAGCATTCACATTACCAGTTGCCAAAAGATATTCCATAGGTCTGGACAAATCCATAGAAGTGCTCACACAGTTATTCATAATAGCTGTAAATTAATATAAACTACAGTTAAATCATATAGAATGTTACATTTTCAAATGAAATTGTTTTAAATTGAGTTTTCTTGTAAAAGAAAGAAATCTGTAGCATCATTTTCAAATTTTTTAAAAATTAGCAATTATATTAAGCATGTAAAAACTATGTAACAAATCTTTAGCATGTAAAAACTATGCTATATTGTTGTATTAGAGATCACATATAATAAAATCTTGTCAGAAACTTCATAAAAGCTTTAATTTAAAAAATATTTTTTAATATTTGAAACCTATATATTTTTAAAAAGTTTTCAGACCTAAAAATTAAATTTGTAAGTCCAAGTGCCATGATTTTTGGAGTATAATCTGCAACTTATATGTTGTTTTTACATTGGAAAAGGGAGATTGCAGAATATACAAAAGTGTGACTTATACATGGAAAATTTTGCATCATTTATGAATCACTCTGCAGATGGCACTGAACTAGTGATGTTTAATATTATCAAATAATCAACTATCAATGCAATATTCTCCAATATCAATGTCAGAAAAATGAATACTAGCTAATATCATTATTGGAATTCAGTGTTATTGAAATTGAAAATTATCAAATTTGACAGCCCAATGCTAACAAACTTTAAATGACAGTTGTTAATAAACATTTGTGTTTTTAACATTGACTATTTATATCAACAAATAAAAGTTGGTGTGGCTAATACAATGATGATGCTTATCTGTTGATCAGTTTACAACAACTTATTTTTATCCTTTGCAGCTTATACTCCAAAAATTACAGCTTATTCATTTTTTGATATCTTTATATTATTAATATGTCTTTTTGATTCATGTAAAATTGTAGCTAAAATGGCTAAATTAATAGTACAATAGCTACAGTTAAAATCTTATTAAATAATAAGATAAACCATATTAATTTATAGTAAATAATTTATAGTAAATAATAATGTAATAAGTAATGAAGTAATTAATTTACTGTAAGTAATGCTGTATATTATATCCAATATTCATATATTAATAACACTTTAAATTAATTATTTTGATAAAAATTATTAGAAAAATAGATATATACTTTAGTTTTAAACATTTCTGGCAGACCAATAATTACAATAATTTAAGAGGAATAATTATTAATTAAAAACAATAAATTAAAAGCTCAATTCTCTGTCTTCTATTAAATACATAGATCATTTTTAAAGTAAGAATTGCTTATACTACTATAGCTTCTTGCCCTTATTATTACTACAAGTTATTGTTAATACACAACTAAACTCTTAGATCTTATCACACTGACTCACTTGACAAGAGAAGTTTATTAAATAATCATATACACCTATATACATGCACACTATTATCAATCTAAAATGCATTTCATGCTTTACAATGGCAAATTTAAGAATTATTTGCAAAAACTAACAATGTAAGTTGACAATCTGAATTTCCACCTGATGGGGAATGTGTTTTAACATGTCTATAATCCTGTCAGTCAGCTTCAAGCTGTTTAAAATTTCTTAGTAATTTCTTAGTAACATTTCATTAAAGGTATTGATCATCAATACCACCAGTTACAAATTGCAATTGGTGATTTTTTTTAAACAAAAAACATTCACCCAACTGAAATTCATTGACAGTTGATTGAAGTATATGGAGAAGGTATAATGAATGAGGAATGTGCAGAAAGGGTGTCAGTTTCTCAATAAAGAGAGACCAAACATACATGATGAAGCAAGATCTGGATGTCCATCTGTCTTCACTAAAGAATGTTTGCATCAACAGCAGTTTTGAAAACAGCTGTTGATGCAACATTCAACAGAACAGGAAGTGATTAACAATTGATAAGCTTCATGCCACTTTCTCTAATGCTTTGCATTCTGTTGTTTATGAAATTTTTAGTGAACATCTTCAATACAAGAAGATTTGTGCAAGACGGGTGCCAAGAATGTTCACACCAGAACACAAACAGAAGAGAATGGACACTTCTCAGGCATTTCTTAATCACTAACTTATGAAAGGGGATCAATTATTGGATCATATAGTGACAGGAGGTGAAACATGGTCATCTCACTATACATCTGAGCCTAGGGACGTCCCAATACAACAAAAGTATTGATACCACCCAGTATCAAAACTGGAAACCTTGCCAACTTTCACTATTTAATCCATGGCTTGATTTTGAAATGTTTTGTGTAATTGAAACTTGTACTTTTAACATAAATAACATGCTTTATTCTAGTTGGTTATTATTAAAACTGATTTCAAATATAAACTAAATGTTAAAAATATACCTTGAACAGTAGTTTACCAATACTGATACAGTATTGGTAAATTAAATGTTACCAATACTGTATCAGATGATTTGAGATTTTAATATATTTTCAAGTTTTTCAAGTAATTGGCAAATTAATTATATACAATAATCTGAACTCTAAGTATACCGTATATAGATTCTGAAAATAAAATTTGATGTAATAAATTTATTGATTTTTGGTCATTAATATTAACTTAACCAAAAATAGTGTAAGATTTGGTTTCAGATTTAGCTGCAAAATTCAATTTCAGTCGGATCTTACTTGTCTGTGAAAATGTAACAATACCAGATTAGATACCAGAGGAAAAGTATCAATACCTAACCAAAAGTATTGAATATAAAAAGTACTCAGTATTGAAAGAAAGTATCGATATGTTATTGATATCAGCAGTATCAGGACATCCCTACCTGAGACTAATGGCAATCTATTGAAACCACTCACATTTTTCAACCAAACTCAAAACGTTCAAACAGGCACCTTCAACTGCAAAAGTTATGACTATGGTTTTTTGGGACCAGAGAGACATTCTTCTGATTATCTGCCTTGAGAAGAAACCATTATATGGGAAAGTACTTTGAAACCTTAAAAAGTTACAATGAACTATACAGAACTGTCTGCATGGCCTGCTTAACTAAGGAAGTGTGTCTGATAATATACAGACAGACATAACAGAAAAGGGAAGAAAACTCAAGGCTGCTCAATGGTATTACCTGAGATGAATAGAGCAGTGAGAGAAAAGTTTAAGTGCAAGGGAAGAAGATAAAAAGGGGAAAAGAGCGATGATGAAAGTGGTGACAGCATAAGCACCTGCATCACATCTATCGACAACACAAAAATACTGTACACTACAGACGGAAACATAGTAACAGACATTGGAAGTGGTTAGTGCTTTGTAGGTTAAACCAACAATACACAAAAATACAAAGCAGTCATATAATACAAAATTACAGATAATAGCTTTCACAATAGTACATTAGAATTCCCAACAATTTGCACATTATGCTCCTAATAATAAGAAAAGCAGTGTAAAGCTAACTAATCAAAGATATCAAAACAAATAACATTGAATACATAGACCAATGACACAAACACTAGTATGACTGATGGTGAAGAATATTACAAAATGATTAACACGTGGGCCCAACAATAATTATAAAATGCATTTTGCCATGGTACAGAGTTATAAAGATCCACTCATAATGTTTAAATATACAGTGACAGACAACTGATGTCTAATAACCATGACAAAGAAATTGAAATATGCAATAATTACACATAAAAGAATAATAATGAAAAGGGCCAAGCCAGAAAACACAAACTTCATGACAATGGTATATAGTCTCATGAAGAATACCCCCAGAATATTAAGTGTGTGAGGCCCTTTGCAATTTGGATTCTAAGGCTTGTGTTAAAGTAATAAAGTCCAGAAATTTATTTAAAATGTCCAGTGTACAAGACCAATTATAGCCCTGAAGAAGAACAATCTGCTCCAGCTGTAAGTACAGGTTGGTGAAATGGCAACAAAGATCAGGTGTTCAGGGTCCTGTATTAAAATACCATCACATTCACAAAATGGGCTATCATAATGGCAAAACAATGCAGATACTGGTTTAAGTTCCTGTGCCCCTAAAAATATGAATGGAGTAATAGTTGATGCTGATATACTTCATTCTGAGTATCTGTTGGATACATGGCAGGAATTGATATGTTTTCTGTCCAGTCTCCTCCATTTCCCATCCCTTTTGCCATAGTTGAATTGCAGTGCATGATTAATATTGTTGTTAAAGCCACCATTGGATGACTATTATAATTGATTGCAGCAGAAGAGACCAGTCCAGTATGTCCTCATATCCACAACAGTGAAATATAGTCATTCAAATTTTTAGAAATTTCTTCTCATATCCTAATATGTTGGTTACTGATTTTCCTGATGTTAATATACTGCACAGCTTTGTAGATAGCAAAGATATCTGTTTTTGTAATCATGCAGAAATCTGCAAGGTGGAAGCTGGCACTATGAAGACGGATATTGGTAGTACAGTTGTAAAGAACTAATGATGCTCTCACCCATATTGCATCTTGAGCCATCATTAAACATTTGCCAAGAGGATTTGGGACCTTCATTTAAGTCAGTTTGTTGTACTTGGTCCAAGATGTTGGAATGTCCAACAGGGACTTGTTTGAAACTTTGATCACATGCAAGTTGCTGCAGAAAGTCAGCATCCAGGTTTGGAAGCATGCCAATATGCACATATTTTATATGTCTCCTCTAGTGTTTGAAATATTGTAACCATGATAATATGCATCCTCACATTGCTCAAAACATAGTAAAACAGTTGCAAGAATTTTTGGTGGGTGTTTTGGACTATCCATCATACAGTCCAGATTTGGCACCTTCTGATTTTCATCTTTTCCCAAAATTAAAGGCATTTTTAAGCAGAAAATGTATGCAGATCAATGACAGCATCCAAGAGATTGTCACCAACTGGTTCAAGGAATAGGTGGTAGAGTTGTTCAATAAAGGAAACATCAAGCTCATCTCCAATATCAAAAATACTTGGATGTCAATGGGGATTATGTTGAAAATAGATTAATACATACTTTCATTATAAAAACATGAATTTTGAGTTACAATAAATTGTTATCACTTTATGATTAAATGACTTTTACTTTAAAAAATGACCCTATGTTTAAAACAAAATTGTAACTATCTACATTTTAATGTTTGATTTTCTTGAGAATATTCAAATGCTACAAATTAATGATTAACTATATTCATTTGTTGATTTTCAGACATATATATGTGAATGCTAAGGCTAAATTACTAAATTAAATTTAAATAATAAATTTTTATGCAAAATTANTTTTTGTAAACAGTATATTCTATGTATAAATTTATATGGAGAAACTTAAAAATGTAAAAATAATTCAATTCAATTAATGGGGATTTAATCTGGTGTTGACCAGCTGAGATGACCTGTTACTTATCTTTTTTGAACAACGCCTAATTTTTGTATTTTTATCAGGTACGTGCAAATTTTATTATTATTTTTGGTTTCTGTAAATGTATTTAAAACTATACATATCTTTACTATTGTGGCACTAGGTCATGGCAGTTTGGTCATTGGTTTTATTTAATTGTTGTATACTGTATACTGTAATTCTAATTATCTGAATTTTATATGTAATCTCATTTTGATGCATTTCTATTTTGTTCCCTGTACAAAGAATAGAAACCATGTGCTAACTTAAATAAAAAAAATAAATAATATTCTATGAGCAATTTCTTACTAGAAGCTAAACTATGGCTAAAAGCTAATTCAAATAGAAATTAGTTTACTTTCTATTAAAATAAAATTATTTTTCATTTAATGTTTCTTTTTTGAATGAATGTTAATTGTGTAATGCACAGAACTTGGGTTTGCAGAACAATTGTATCATTGTAACTTAGAATTAAGAATTAACAGAATATAATTTTGTCCTATTATGCTTATCAATAAGTCACAATGACATAAATGCTCATGTAAACATTGCATAAGATATTCAAATTTTGCAAAGTAATAATAATTTGTATAGATAACTTTTTATATGAAACTGGTTTCCAACAGATTTAGAAGTTCAACAATAACAATAGTAGTAATTCAAGTATAATCACAAGAAATATTTTCTATGTATATTAATTAATTATTATAAAATGGCAAAATGCTTAATTTTAAGGGTAGAGATTAGTTTCAAAAAAAAATTTTAAATGTTAATAATGAATAAAACCTTCATTAAGTCTGATCCCATTTGAGATACAACACACAACCCCTCTATTCTCATCATACCATTGACCTTTAACCATCAAAATTTAATAGTATCAATCCCTAATACAAATCTCCCTGCAAAATTTCAGAAATTTTCAACAAAAATCACAGGAATTATTAAGCTTCAAAAAAGGTGAACAAAATAGTGCTCCCCACATACAAAAACATCCATACATACAGAAACCCCCCAAATTATTTGCATTTCTCAATGTTTCAAGGTGCCCTGAATCCAAAAAGTAAAAATCTTGGAGGATCATTTTTTGACCTCTTGCAATACTTTCCTTTTGTTATATATAATGGAGCCAGGAAAGTAACAAAAACAAGAAATAACAATTATTAAAAATGAGGAAAAAAAAAACATTTAATGTATAATAATAATTAGAATGAAACACTACAGTATAGGTAAAAAAAAAGTTTAAATGATTAAATCCAAATAAGATTAATGTATTAAATCCAAAAATTATAAAAATTATTGTCTTAGTTTTAGTATATAAATTTTCAACATTACTGTTATTAACATGAATCAGTAAAAAATTTTTGATCTTTCCACAATAATTAAAATACATTATCCATTTATAAAATGCTAGTGAGATAGTTCCATACGTCAAAACTTCAGTTTTACATTTTTTGCAAATTCTCCATATTCTGACTAGTCAACCATTATAATTCTTTATTATTTACTTTTTATATATTTATAAATTTGTCACGATCATTTACTTATGTATTTAAAAGTATCTATTTACATATTTATTTAAAAGTAATTTAAACTGTAAGTTTTCCATTTAGAATTTATGTTTGAATTTATTCCTTTCTCTGGCATATTCCACATAGCATGTTATTTAAATGTGAAATTTTTGAATCTTGTTCCATTTTCAAACATATGTTAATGACCATCTTATAATTTCAAACCGTAACCCAAAACTGGTCTATTAACTAGACTGAAAACATTAGTTAAAATAAAATGATTCTGTGGGAAATTAAAAGGTGTTAACTATATGATCTTAGTAGTTTCAGCCAGACACCTATACTCATTATAACTCTGTAATTTAAACTGTAAAAAAGATTTAATAATTCAAATATATATATATCTAAAACTGAAGATTAAATAAAATTTGTTTGATGGAATACAATGCAAATGGGCAATGTGCCAAAGCAGATGCTTCTCAGGAGGACTTTCTATACAAAACTGGGCAATATTTAGATATTTGAAAAAAACCTAGAATATTCCTACTGGTCAGCCTGTTAGGCACAAATACAGGGTGTACAAATACAAATAAATGAATAGCATGGTTTTAAAAATTAATAATAAATCTATTTATTACCTTATATGGGCAAACCTTACAGCATAAGCAGTGGCAACTGTCCAAGTTTTTTATGCGCTACCCACTTTTCGCTTGTCATGCACTGCAGTCCATCACGGAGGACATGCTACTCCACATATGGAAAAAATTTTATTACCATGTAGATGTGTGTCGAGTGACCATGGGTGCACATATTGAAGGATTATGATTAATGCACAAAAAACTTGGACAGTTGCTGCTGCTTATGCTGTAAGGTTTGCCCATATAAGGTAATAAATAGATTTATTATTAATTTTTAAAACTGCGCCATTCATTTATGAACACCCTGTACAATCGTGTCTGGTGTCCAGTGTTTTACCACTCACTCACTGGTGGGCAACTTAAATAAAATCTCATCTGATATTTTACAACAGATAAAACAAAAAACATTCAATATTAAAGTGACTAATCAATAAATTTTTTCAAATACAATTCAAATCAAATTTAACTATTTGAGTTTAAGGAATTTTTGATAAATTCATCAGCATAAAAAATAATTACAAAATAAATTAATTTTAATACAAAACATTTTATTTCATCCTAAATGTAAAAAAATTCATTTAATTTTCATATAAATCTATTTAGATATTTTCACTTTTAAATAAATTAGTTATTTATTATATCTTGATTAATTTGTGATAAAACATTATTAGTACGAAGTTAAAATTAGCTGGATATAATCATTCACTTTTGTAACCACTTAAAAAAGGGTTTTCTGGACGAATAAAACAAAATATTATGTCCTTTGAATCTGACATTCACCTGAATTCAAGAATTACTCAAAAGACGATTTTATTTCCAGATATTTTATTTAAATGCATTTAGGATCAAATGTTTCGCCAATCCCTCTTCAGTAAAGATATAGTCTGCAACAGAGTTTACACCAATTTTTTGGGCCTTTCCATCATCAATCACCTGTGATTAATGTCAGAAAGACCCAAAAAATTCTTGAACTCAGGTGAATGTCAAATTCAAAGACATAACATTTCATTTTATTCATCTAAAACACCCATTTTAAGTGGTTATAAAAGTGAATAAAACATTATTTAATCAAGGCATTATAAGAGGTAAAATATGTTTGATATTATAAGAGAGGTCCATAATATGTTTATGAAAAAATTCAGACTATTGTATCATTAATAGCATAAACAAAAAATAATAGACAAAAGATGAATGACAAGCATATTTCAAATTAATATTGAAATTTATTAATCATTCATAATTATTTTCATCCATATCAGTGATCATAAACTTTTATTTTTTTTTTAATTTACAGCTCATTTCACAAATATTGACTAAGCTGTAAAATGTGCAGTAGCAGTAGCCAGATGGCCAAGCAGTTAAGGAAAAATTATTTATTTTATTTTTATTTGAATTTGAACATACAAAATTAAAACTATATACTATATTTTAATTATTTTAGCAATATTTTTTCAAAATAATTATTACTGTTTAATTTAAGTCAAATATATTATCATGATAAAATATTTATTATATTATTCTTATTTTTGAAATATTTTATTATTAATAAACAAGCTTACCCCAACTTTCTGGTAATAATTTTCTTACAGTAGTAGTTCTCATTTCAGTGAATATTGCACCTCTATGAATTGATCGAAAGTGAGATAAGTAACGCCAATAATTTAATTTTTCTGCAACAACTGAAAGACCAGTTATTTGTGGCAGTCCCAACAAGGAACGAGCATTCACATTACCAGTTGCCAAAAGATATTCCATAGGTCTGGACAAATCCATAGAAGTGCTCACACAGTTATTCATAATAGCTGTAAATTAATATAAACTACAGTTAAATCATATAGAATGTTACATTTTCAAATGAAATTGTTTTAAATTGAGTTTTCTTGTAAAAGAAAGAAATCTGTAGCATCATTTTCAAATTTTTTAAAAATTAGCAATTATATTAAGCATGTAAAAACTATGTAACAAATCTTTAGCATGTAAAAACTATGCTATATTGTTGTATTAGAGATCACATATAATAAAATCTTGTCAGAAACTTCATAAAAGCTTTAATTTAAAAAATATTTTTTAATATTTGAAACCTATATATTTTTAAAAAGTTTTCAGACCTAAAAATTAAATTTGTAAGTCCAAGTGCCATGATTTTTGGAGTATAATCTGCAACTTATATGTTGTTTTTACATTGGAAAAGGGAGATTGCAGAATATACAAAAGTGTGACTTATACATGGAAAATTTTGCATCATTTATGAATCACTCTGCAGATGGCACTGAACTAGTGATGTTTAATATTATCAAATAATCAACTATCAATGCAATATTCTCCAATATCAATGTCAGAAAAATGAATACTAGCTAATATCATTATTGGAATTCAGTGTTATTGAAATTGAAAATTATCAAATTTGACAGCCCAATGCTAACAAACTTTAAATGACAGTTGTTAATAAACATTTGTGTTTTTAACATTGACTATTTATATCAACAAATAAAAGTTGGTGTGGCTAATACAATGATGATGCTTATCTGTTGATCAGTTTACAACAACTTATTTTTATCCTTTGCAGCTTATACTCCAAAAATTACAGCTTATTCATTTTTTGATATCTTTATATTATTAATATGTCTTTTTGATTCATGTAAAATTGTAGCTAAAATGGCTAAATTAATAGTACAATAGCTACAGTTAAAATCTTATTAAATAATAAGATAAACCATATTAATTTATAGTAAATAATTTATAGTAAATAATAATGTAATAAGTAATGAAGTAATTAATTTACTGTAAGTAATGCTGTATATTATATCCAATATTCATATATTAATAACACTTTAAATTAATTATTTTGATAAAAATTATTAGAAAAATAGATATATACTTTAGTTTTAAACATTTCTGGCAGACCAATAATTACAATAATTTAAGAGGAATAATTATTAATTAAAAACAATAAATTAAAAGCTCAATTCTCTGTCTTCTATTAAATACATAGATCATTTTTAAAGTAAGAATTGCTTATACTACTATAGCTTCTTGCCCTTATTATTACTACAAGTTATTGTTAATACACAACTAAACTCTTAGATCTTATCACACTGACTCACTTGACAAGAGAAGTTTATTAAATAATCATATACACCTATATACATGCACACTATTATCAATCTAAAATGCATTTCATGCTTTACAATGGCAAATTTAAGAATTATTTGCAAAAACTAACAATGTAAGTTGACAATCTGAATTTCCACCTGATGGGGAATGTGTTTTAACATGTCTATAATCCTGTCAGTCAGCTTCAAGCTGTTTAAAATTTCTTAGTAATTTCTTAGTAACATTTCATTAAAGGTATTGATCATCAATACCACCAGTTACAAATTGCAATTGGTGATTTTTTTAAACAAAAAACATTCACCCAACTGAAATTCATTGACAGTTGATTGAAGTATATGGAGAAGGTATAATGAATGAGGAATGTGCAGAAAGGGTGTCAGTTTCTCAATAAAGAGAGACCAAACATACATGATGAAGCAAGATCTGGATGTCCATCTGTCTTCACTAAAGAATGTTTGCATCAACAGCAGTTTTGAAAACAGCTGTTGATGCAACATTCAACAGAACAGGAAGTGATTAACAATTGATAAGCTTCATGCCACTTTCTCTAACGCTTTGCATTCTGTCGTTTATGAAATTTTTAGTGAACATCTTCAATACAAGAAGATTTGTACAAGACGGGTGCCAAGAATGTTCACACCAGAACACAAACAGAAGAGAATGGACACTTCTCAGGCATTTCTTAATCACTAACTTATGAAAGGGGATCAATTATTGGATCATATAGTGACAGGAGGTGAAACATGGTCATCTCACTATACATCTGAGCCTAGGGACATCCCAATACAACAAAAGTATTGATACCACCCAGTATCAAAACTGGAAACCTTGCCAACTTTCACTATTTAATCCATGGCTTGATTTTGAAATGTTTTGTGTAATTGAAACTTGTACTTTTAACATAAATAACATGCTTTATTCTAGTTGGTTATTATTAAAACTGATTTCAAATATAAACTAAATGTTAAAAATATACCTTGAACAGTAGTTTACCAATACTGATACAGTATTGGTAAATTAAATGTTACCAATACTGTATCAGATGATTTGAGATTTTAATATATTTTCAAGTTTTTCAAGTAATTGGCAAATTAATTATATACAATAATCTGAACTCTAAGTATACCATATATAGATTCTGAAAATAAAATTTGATGTAATAAATTTATTGATTTTTGGTCATTAATATTAACTTAACCAAAAATAGTGTAAGATTTGGTTTCAGATTTAGCTGCAAAATTCAATTTCAGTCGGATCTTACTTGTCTGTGAAAATGTAACAATACCAGATTAGATACCAGAGGAAAAGTATCAATACCTAACCAAAAGTATTGAATATAAAAAGTACTCAGTATTGAAAGAAAGTATCGATATGTTATCAATATCAGCAGTATCAGGACATCCCTACCTGAGACTAATGGCAATCTATTGAAACCACTCACATTTTTCAACCAAACTCAAAACGTTCAAACAGGCACCTTCAACTGCAAAAGTTATGACTATGGTTTTTTGGGACCAGAGAGACATTCTTCTGATTATCTGCCTTGAGAAGAAACCATTATATGGGAAAGTACTTTGAAACCTTAAAAAGTTACAATGAACTATACAGAACTGTCTGCATGGCCTGCTTAACTAAGGAAGTGTGTCTGATAATATACAGACAGACATAACAGAAAAGGGAAGAAAACTCAAGGCTGCTCAATGGTATTACCTGAGACGAATAGAGCAGTGAGAGAAAAGTTTAAGTGCAAGGGAAGAAGATAAAAAGAGGAAAAGAGAGATGATGAAAGTGGTGACAGCATAAGCACCTGCATCACATCTATCGACAACACAAAAATACTGTACACTACAGACGGAAACATAGTAACAGACATTGGAAGTGGTTAGTGCTTTGTAGGTTAAACCAACAATACACAAAAATACAAAGCAGTCATATAATACAAAATTACAGATAATAGCTTTCACAATAGTACATTAGAATTCCCAACAATTTGCACATTATGCTCCTAATAATAAGAAAAGCAGTGTAAAGCTAACTAATCAAAGATATCAAAACAAATAACATTGAATACATAGACCAATGACACAAACACTAGTATGACTGATGGTGAAGAATATTACAAAATGATTAACACGTGGGCCCAATAATAATTATAAAATGCATTTTGCCATGGTACAGAGTTATAAAGATCCACTCATAATGTTTAAATATACAGTGACAGACAACTGATGTCTAATAACCATGACAAAGAAATTGAAATATGCAATAATTACACATAAAAGAATAATAATGAAAAGGGCCAAGCCAGAAAACACAAACTTCATGACAATGGTATATAGTCTCATGAAGAATACCCCCAGAATATTAAGTGTGTGAGGCCCTTTGCAATTTGGATTCTAAGGCTTGTGTTAAAGTAATAAAGTCCAGAAATTTATTTAAAATGTCCAGTGTACAAGACCAATTATAGCCCTGAAGAAGAACAATCTGCTCCAGCTGTAAGTGCAGGTTGGTGAAATGGCAACAAAGATCAGGTGTTCAGGGTCCTGTATTAAAATGCCATCACATTCACAAAATGGGCTATCATAATGGCAAAACAATGCAGATACTGGTTTAAGTTCCTGTGCCCCTAAAAATATGAATGGAGTAATAGTTGATGCTGATATACTTCATTCTGAGTATCTGTTGGATATATGGCAGGAATTGATATGTTTTCTGTCCAGTCTCCTCCATTTCCCATCCCTTTTGCCATAGTTGAATTGCAGTGCATGATTAATATTGTTGTTAAAGCCACCATTGGATGACTATTATAATTGATTGCAGCAGAAGAGACCAGTCCAGTATGTCCTCATATCCACAACAGTGAAATATAGTCATTCAAATTTTTAGAAATTTCTTCTCATATCCTAATATGTTGGTTACTGATTTTCCTGATGTTAATATACTGCACAGCTTTGTAGATAGCAAAGATCTCTGTTTTTGTAATCATGCAGAAATCTGCTAGGTGGAAGCTGGCACTATGAAGACAGATATTGGTAGTACAGTTGTAAAGAACTAATGATGCTCTCACCCATATTGCATCTTGAGCCATCATTAAACATTTGCCAAGAGGATTTGGGACCTTCATTTAAGTCAGTTTGTTGTACTTGGTCCAAGATGTTGGGATGTCCAACAGGGACTTGTTTGAAACTTTGATCACATGCAAGTTGCTGCAGAAAGTCAGCATCCAGGTTTGGAAGCATGCCAATATGCACATATTTTATATGTCTCCTCTAGTGTTTGAAATATTGTAACCATGATAATATGCATCCTCACATTGCTCAAAACATAGTAAAACAGTTGCAAGAATTTTTGGTGGGTGTTTTGGATTATCCATCATACAGTCCAGATTTGGCACCTTCTGATTTTCATCTTTTCCCAAAATTAAAGGCATTTTTAAGCAGAAAATGTATGCAGATCAATGACAGCATCCAAGAGATTGTCACCAACTGGTTCAAGGAATAGGTGGTAGAGTTGTTCAATAAAGGAAACATCAAGCTCATCTCCAATATCAAAAATACTTGGATGTCAATGGGGATTATGTTGAAAATAGATTAATACATACTTTCATTATAAAAACATGAATTTTGAGTTACAATAAATTGTTATCACTTTATGATTAAATGACTTTTACTTTAAAAAATGACCCTATGTTTAAAACAAAATTGTAACTATCTACATTTTAATGTTTGATTTTCTTGAGAATATTCAAATGCTACAAATTAATGATTAACTATATTCATTTGTTGATTTTCAGACATATATATGTGAATGCTAAGGCTAAATTACTAAATTAAATTTAAATAATAAATTTTTATGCAAAATTAAGATATACAACTAAATTCAATATTAAATTTTTCAATAATTTATGAAATATAAAATCATAAAAACTTCTCATACAGCAAGTTAAAAAAAAAATTAAATTCTATTAAACTTATGACTTTTGTATAAATTAATTTATTTTACAAAATCAATACTACACTTACTTATGTTAATTTCAAATGCAGCACCTTTAGCTTTTGCTTTTTTCTCCATATTTTTTCTTATTATTTGCAACCACAGTTCTATCTTTTCCTATAAATTAAAAAATTCTTTACTGAAAGATTCATTGGAATAATTATTTTAACAAAAATTAATGTAATTCCAAAAATACTTTTATACAAGAATTTATAACAGTTTTTAATCTCACTTTTAATACAGCCAAGTATATGTGACCTGGAAGAAGTGCTTCTTGATTCATTGCACTATCAGCAGATTCAACAGCACATTCACCTTTAGCTGTAGCAAATAACTTCCTTGTCATAAAGCTTTAAAATAAATAAAATTATTAAAATAAGTGACTAGAAATCATAAAGAGCATGAAAGTTTTTGTTTATAATTCAAATTATCACCATAAAAAATATATTCAAATTATCACCATAAAAAATTCTAGAATATATAAATAAAAATTAGATATAATTTCTATTTTAATTTATACTTAACTTTAAAAGTTTTTTCATTTTTATTTTTATAGATTTTAATTAGGAATTTTTTCATTGTTAATGTAAGGGGTGGTTTATTTTACTCATTGGGCATAATCATGCATCTTTGGAACATTATATTATTCTTTGTACAAAACAACTTTATTTAGTACTTCTAAAATATTATATTCTATTTCTGAGTGAATACTATCAAGATTACTTAAGATAAAAATAGGTTTTAATTGAGAACAGAAATGATTAAAGTTAGAAATACAGTATAATTTCAATTAAAATGCTGATAGTATTTTACATTAAAAACAAGTGGAAGAAACTATATATTTTTAATTTTTGGCTTATCAGTAGTAAACATTTTTAAAATTGTTTTGCATATTTTTACAGAGGCATAGATTCTAATTGAAGATCATCTCTGTAAAAGAAAGACTGTTTCTGGTGATTGGACATGACAGAGACATGAAGTTTCTTCCAACTATTTTTAATTGGAAATTTTAGTTCTGTTAAAATAAACTTTATATCAGCATATATCAGAAAATATATAAATAATAGAAGAAATTTAAAAAATTATAGTAGCAGGAAAGCTAAAAGGAAAGATTAACTGAATCAAAAATTNATTAGTCTAGAATCGATTAATTTTATGGAAGAAAACCTTTCAATCAGCCGTAGTCCGTAAACTTCACACGTGTCGGGCTGTGATTGGAAGAAATCGGATTCCTAAAGAATGGAACGTATCTATGATCTTATAGGGGGTTGACTATATTTACTTAATTATTAAACTGATTAAATAATTTGTTAGCAGTGTTGAGAAATTAAACTGACTACATCAGCATTAGCAGAAAGTGCCACTCAACACTATAGGATATAAAAATGTGTAGGGTGTTGATATAAGATCAAACTAAAACCTTGTAGGATTCATAAAACAACTTTAAAACAAGGCAGCAGAAGAAATAACTGTGCATTTGTTGTAGAGAAACTGAAAGATTGGTCTGTAATCAATCAGTATTTAACTCAAAATCAGAAACAATTTGAATTACTACAGGATTAGTTCTTTAATCTTTATAATTTTTGATAACAAATATTTTGATGTTTTAAAATTTTCTGAAAATTTAGAGGCTATTTTAGATATTTACAAATATTTTTTTTTGTACAAATCTTATTTACAATAGTGTGTGTAAAATATAGGGTCTTCCAAAAAGAATGCTACCATTTTAAATTACTGTAATTATGTTAATTATTATCTGAGAAGTACACAATGTACTGTACACCAATCAACAGAGTAACTGTCCAAGTTTTATCTCCCATCTATATTTTCTGCAATTTTTAAGTCAAAATCACTCATCATTGTGTAAAATAAGTATTCTCAGGAGCTGTAGCATTCTGGTTGCTGTGGAAAGAGTGACAACAGATATGTTGTAGTTAGCCTAGGAAAATTTGAGTATCAGATAAATGTGTGCTGTATGACCATGAAGTGCACACAATGAGAAATTGGAATAGGCAAATGTTAAACTTTGACAGTTTTCCAAATGTCTTAATGTACAGTACAACATTCTTGGATAATAATTAACATAATTACAATAATTTAAAATGGTGGCATTCTTTTTGGAAGATCCTGTGATGCTTTCAAAAATCTTTACACAATATTGGTAAATGGTAAGTATTCTATAAGTGAAAAATCATTCAATATAATTTCTCATAAATTTTAGTGTGTTTTTAAATTGACAATAAAATATTTAAACTTCAAAAATATGAATCAGTCAAAGTTAAATTATATCTCATTCTTCAATAAATTAAATTGTTGGTTAAATTGAAAACTTTTAGAAATAAATATAGTTTGCTTATTACTAATATGTTTTCAGAATATTTAATTTTATAATTATTATAGAAAAAACAAATTAACCAATACTTACATAATTTCTACGCTGTACAAGTAAAAGACGCATTATTTTTTCAATTCCATTAATAATGAAATAACCTCCAAATTCCTAGAATATTGTTTATGATATTTATTATTAAAAAAAATTAATGATAAAAATATAAATACAAATAATAAAATGAATATTTTAGAAAAAACCATGCAATATATAAATTTGACTAATCATATATGAAAAATCATATAGGAGAAACCAAACTAAAGTTAAAAGTTAAGATTTAATGAGCATATTTATGCAGTTAAAAATAATTTCCGATCATCAGCAGTGACTAAACATTGCCTTCAATTTAATTGTTACATAACAGGGAGTCATTGAAAATAATAAAAGCAGTTCCAGAACTATTAAAAAACAAATTATATGAACATCTCAAAGTAATTAAAATTCTTGAAGAAAAGAGGATTAATGATAATACAGGCTTTAAAATGGATAAATATTAGAGTTCTTGTTTTATTAATAATAGTTTTAATATTATATATTTCTGATAATTTTTAAAATTTGCAATGTAATCTTTCAATATTCTTGTCAAGCTCATATGTCACTATGTGCCACACCAACTCACTATAAGGATGTGTAAATATCAGAGTGTCTGGTAGTCTTTATAATTGCCTTATGGTATTGTCAGAATGATTTAAGAATGTTGTAAGTACTCTAATTAAAGTATGTATTATTGTTTTATGTAAATATCATTTTATATTGCAATTTTAAATTGTTTATATTTTTACATGTATTTTAGCATACCCTAGTATTTTATATTTGTTATTATTGACTAAAGAGGGGAGTTAAATGTAATCTCTCCCGAAACACATACTGCACTACTATTAAATTTGTATGCTCCATTTCTATTAATAAAGGTAATTAATGTGTCTGCAATATAAATGTCTTATGATTCAATCATTGGTGTGTGACATCCAAAAATTAAGCAAGAAAGTGAGCTTAAACAAACATAACTTATTTTGGAACATAGAGAAAAATAAGGTAAATTACTCATCATGTTTATTTATTTCTGAATAATGAATACTAGAGATTACTATCCCCCATACATAAAAAGATAAACCCCATGACAAAAAAAACCAGTAACTATACATCAACAAAAGCCAAATATTATTGGGCTAGAAACAGCTATAACATTAATAATTTAAATTATTAATGTTATAGCTGTTTCTAGCCCAATAATATTTGGCTTTGGTTGATGAATAGCTTTAAACGTATCAGGTATAGTAAGGATGTTTGATTAAAACCAGTAACACAAAATGGTAATAACATAAAAAAAAAAATAAAATAAAATAAAAAATAACAAGTAATAAAACATTGACAAACAAGAAGTAAACATGAATTAAATATAAATATAAAAATGAATACAGAAAAGAACTAAAACAGTATAAAATATCTAAAATAGACTAAAACTGCCATACATAGTAAAACTATAAAATTTAAAAATAAAAAAGGTGAATAAAACTAGGTACAGTACATTAGCCATGTAATTTGTATTTAAAAGCAGTGTTTAAACTGCTGAAAATTTGCAGTAAAATAGTTTGATAGGATAAGTATTACAGTGTTATCTCTAAAATATAATGATCATCTTCAAATGTGAAGACTACAATTGGGAGCAGAGATGCATATAATTATATTATTTCTAGTATAGAATTCTTAAACCTAATTTGTCAGGCAACAGTAATCCATTAAAAAATTTTTAAAACAAAATTCTGTTAAAATATTCAATATGGGATAAAAAAGGGGCTCTTAGTCTGGATCAGCAACCTCTACAGTACTAGTGAAAGGCAAATTGGAAAATTTATTAAATAGAAAGTAAATTTTAAGTTCAGAAATAACCTTTTTAAGGAGACTTGGAACTGCAGTTGACCAAATAAGTAGACAGTAATCAATTAATGACTGAAAATTAGTAAAAACAATGGCTTGAAAGACTATATGTGATGCTTTAACAATATTTCAAAGAATCCCTCTCCAAACAGCTAAATCCTTAACCAGGTGATTAATATGAGAATAAAAAGTTAAGTGCTGATAAAAAATGACACCAATATCATTAATACTGTTGACATATTTAACTAAATGCCCATAAATAAATAAAGGAGTTAAAGTGAAGTTCCTAATAAGTACAGTACATAATACATTGGAACAGTTTTTTGAAAGTTAATGGATAAATTAAGTTTCAAATGCAGACGCCAAAGCTTATAAATCCTGCTGGAGAGTAACAGGGTTGAAATTAATGATTTTAAGATCATCAGCATACAACAAAACATGAAAATAGGGACTATTAATAATATAATCTATGTAAGAAATAAAAAAAACAAACTACTAAGCACCGAATCTTAGGAAATACAAGCTGGAGAAAATGAAATCATAGAGAGACATTGGAATAAAAAATAGCAAAAATATGGTCAGGGCTGTTTTGAGAATTCAAAACATTCACAATAGTCTTCTTAACAGTTTCAAAAGAAACAGACAAACCAGTTGCAGAAAAATCCAGGTTTAAAGGGAAATGTAAAGCATAATAGTGAATTTGGAAGAAATGAAATTTAAAATTATTATAAACTTGATAGATTGAGTAGTCTTGCATCCTGAACAGGTGCATGAGCACCTAGAAAATTTAGGAATAAATTCTCAGAGTCTTGGGGTCATAAGTATAAACAAAATTTAAAATTAAAAAATTAAAATTTTCAGTTAATTTAATTTGTCACTCAAAATAAAATTTTTTCAGATGACTTTTTGCACATACAAACATCTGTGGTTTCCTGCTTTTTCCCTCCACATTCACTATTTCTTACAAGAGATTTCTTCATTTTTTGAAGAAGTGGAAAACCAACAGTTATCAGAAGAATCAATAGTTTTACATAGAACACAAGAGTCAACAGAGAGTTTAAAAAGTTTATAGATGTGATTTACTTTTTGTTTTATTGAAAGGTGGGTATTTTCAAGAAATGGTCAGTGAATTTTTTATCCTTCTATAAAAAGTTCTTCATAGGAGGATAAAAATCTAGATAAAATGTAAAAAATGTTACAATGCTGGAGATGAGGAACATAAACAATGATAATATGTATTTGCAGAAATTCAAGTTATTTCTATTACAAGGATTGAATCACTGTATTAAAAAATTTTTATAACATTTAGCTGTAACTGAAAGCAAAGTAAAATACCTTCTTTTTGAGTAACCAATCTATAGTACTATGGTTCTCAATATTTTTGAAGTCGGGAAACATTAAATTTTAACATTTTTTCCTGTGGAACACTTACAATACAGCAGCTTTAAAGCAGGGGTGGAAAACCTTTTTTAAATCAAGAGCACACTTGGTCTATGACATTATTAGCGTTTGCTGATTACATTCCCATACAAAAATTATTTTACATTATATTGATTTTTCTTTTGCAACAATTTTTAAATATTTGATTTTTTCGCAAAACACTTGAAGTGGCTTCACAGAGCACCCATGTTCCATGGACCACAGATTGAGAACCACAACTATAGTGAACAAATCAAAATTATATTGATATACAACACTGTTATATCAGATAATTCATGAGACAGCCAGCTTTCAGTAAAGATCAATAAATTATAATTATCATTTAGCAATGACAGAAAGAAATCACATTTGTTTTTATAGAGTATATCCAATATGGATGTTATTAATCAATAAGGCAGTGCTATGAGAGAGTCATATCAAGAAGTAATAATAATAATAATAAAGAAAATACTAATCTACAAGAATTAAGAAATATGAATATTGTATAAAAAATGCAAATGAGATATCAATCAAAGTCTGAAATCCAAAATTAACATGATGATGATGAGTCAATCCTTAAATGAGCTTGGAACAGCCCATTATATCATTGCAGAGAGTTGTACAGTTCAGATGTACAGATTCTTGAGGTTAAAAAAATAAAATAGCCTATTGACTAAAATTATAATTTATTAAATTAATTCATTTATTTTACTTTCAAAACAATCAATTTTATTTTTCAAAATTTTCCTTAAAATATTTAGCATTATATACTAAAGAAGCAAATATCAGTAGAAAAAAATTATTACAATATTTTTTGAAAAGTAATTAGCTAATTTTTAATAATTGTAAAACAAAAAAATGATACTCACTTCTTCCTCTTCTCCTTTTTCAATTAATTGTTTTGGTGTTAATTTGGAAAGATTACACACATTTGACTATAAAAAGTTCAGCAGTTTTTATATTTATAAAATTTATAAAATGTAAAATATTTTAATAAATGTTTAATTTTCAATTAACTCACTTTAACCATTATTGGAATTTCTCCAATATTTTTTGTAATAACATCTTGAACAATTCCATTTTTACTCCATTGGAGAGAGACTTCAAGTTTACTTTTATATGTAATTCCACTTGCTCTACACTAAAAATATTTAAATTTTTATTATAATATAAATCTAATTATCAATAATTTCCACCAATTATTTAACATTAAATAAGTGTGGATAAACAGTGTTTTTTATTATGTTCTTAGTTAATATTATTATAGTTAATATTGTAGTTTAGAAATCAATTAAATAGGAATATCTATATATTCTTATTGAATTTAAATTTAATTTGTAAAAAGACATGTATTTTTGTATGAGAATGAGAATTTAAAAGTTATTTAACAGACAAATACAACTATGAACTAACTGAAAGTTGTGGCAATGTTAAACAAATTTTATTTCTTCTTGTTGAGAGAGTTATACACAAATATACTTTTTAAGAGTATTTTCACTTAATATATGCAGGCTTCTTCAGTTGCAACTTTAAACAGAAATAACAGAAACATTCAAAGAACACATCATTCATTCTTAACAAATATATGTTCAAATTATACAAACACACTTTTCAGATGTTTCCAGCATTAACTTTACAAACTGAACAAATGTTTTTGGCCTGATTTACAGGCCTGCCTCAGGTTAGAAGCCATCCAAAAAAGAAAAAGATAACTCTCATTTTTGGATGTTTATATAATATTTTCTTTAAAAGCAATCACTTTTAGAGAATAAAATTATATGTATGTGATACGCACCTGCAACTTTCAGGCTAATGACAGACAAGCATGATTTAATTTCTGCCATTTTTAGCAGATGTTGTGGAAGTTCAAAAATACATGAGAGCAATCAGATGGATGCAGACATGAAAAACAATAGTGCCACACAGATGGCCTGCTGGATCCTGCATGATTATCTCATAATGGAGCATGTCCAGTGCACATTCGGGGGATCCCCTCAATACCTACAGTCATCAGACAAGTGCAATAAATGACTGTTGAAACATTGTTTCGAGGAGATGCCAGGTCCTTGTTCTTCCTGCTAAAGAGTGTATTCATGTATTTTAAAAAATGGACATTGATGTAAGTTGATCATACAAGTTAGTGAGTGGCTGGAATTGTGGTGAATTTCATTTGAATTTTATAAAGATAGGAATAAAAAAAAGGAAGACTGGTTACAAGTGTGTAATGGTTTATTTAATGACTTCAAAACAAAAATGAAGAAAAAATTTTGATTTGTGTATGTAATAAAAAAAACATCATATCACAATCTATGCAATCCATGTTGATATATAGATATATGAAATAAAACTAGCTATTTATGCATGCAATGGAAGACAGCACTCATCTGATAACCAACTTCATGTCTTAGAAAAACAGAGTACAACTGATTTGATGCTCATCTGATATTAGCCTCAGTGATCATATCTCAACAGATCATACTAATTCTTCATTATTTTTACGTGTGTTGCAATTTAATATTGTTTATATTGTTGTGGTGAATAAAATATTCATTTATTTATTTTCTTAAAATTTCAATTTTTATAATAACAGTTAGTGTTCCATTGTAAAGTCAAAATGGTACATCAACTATGTTATTCAATTTTGTTTTTCTATAAAAAAGTTGCTTCTATTGAAACATTTCCTGTTATTCAGCAAATAACATACAATGTTTCAGATAGCATGAGTTAGTGAATGAATCTAAAAATCAGTCAATCAGCTAGTGAGGCCAATCTAGCTTTATTATATTAGTTACATACATAAAAATGTAAACTTTTTCAAATAGTTACAGAATTGAATATATGGCATTTTTATTTCTTAGCAAAATGAGTGTAAAAGTTATATTTAGTAATCATGTTTCAAACTGTTTGAAAATTATTTCTGTAATGACTTGTTTAAGAGACTCCATTTCAACTACTACATGTATCTCTGGCACCATACTATTACAAATATTAAAAAGCTTACTTAAGGAAGCCAAATATTTAATAGAATAATAACATTCATTTTCATCTTGAAGTAAGCATTTTTAATATTTTTAGACTCCATTTTGTTAATATTTAAAATTTTTTATAATTTAATAAGTTAACTATTCAATTATAAAGAAGACTTTTGTTCAGAAATTCCTTTTACTACTAAAGATAAAAAATTTTGCAGTTTCGATCATCATCTTTATATGGAATTGATTATTTGAAGCTTTGAATTATTTAAATTTTAGAACTGTTCAAATATATTTTATTAATGAGAACAACATAAATAACAACTAGAAGTTATTGGAGATATATGAAAAATTGAAATATAAATAATTCTAAATACAAAATAATCGATTCCACATTTCTGAGGTACCAAATATGATGTTCAAAATATCATCCACATAATCAATAAAAAACATATTTATATCAAAACAAAGGAAATTCTAAACAAAAAGCTGTTTTATAGCCCAATAATTTACCCAAATTTTGATTATGGTGTTAGGACAAGTATGGCATTTGGTCAAAAATTTTTTGTATTTTTGGACTCAGGAGACTAAAAAATGTTGAGAAATAAAAAAAAAATTTGGAGATTTTTTTCCTGTATGTATGGATATTTGTGTATGTTTGTATGAAGTGCACAATTTTGTTCACCCATTTTAAAGCTTAATAACTCCTGTATCATTTGTCAAAAATTTATGATATTTTGCTGGAAAGTTTGTATATTAGGGAAATAAATAGGGGACTATTAAATTTTGGTGACTAAAGGTCAAGGGGTGGGGATATATAGGGGTACAAGTGTCATATTTTGAGTGGGAACAGACTTAACTCTTTAAGATCTGAAAATTTCTTCTTTACTGTTCCTGGACACAAAACTGATTTTACCTCTCAACCTACAAGGGGGACATGTATGGCAAAACCAGTCAAACAACTTTACCTTCATCTTGAACGATTCAAACCTATTTCAGCCAATTTTTTTGTTTAAAGAGTTAATAAAGATTTTACTTATTATTAGCATTTACAATTTTTTTTATAAAACTCATCCCTACCTTCAAAAGCTTTTTGACATTTTATAATAATTAATAATATAAAAAGTTTTTAAACAAAATATCATAACAGATGGTTCCACACATAATTTAAANATAATATTTATTCATAAAAAATTATACAATATACATTGTAAGGAACATGAATCATTATCTTTTCTTCTAGCACAGAACGAACCAACCTGGAATGCAAATTTGATTTGAAGAAAATAAAAAAAAATTAAAGATAATATGTCTGATGAAGATGCCAAATTCTTGGACTATATAAAGGTTATAATTAAATATTAGAAATTAATTAATTTGACTAGAGATAGGCAGTTATGCTGCCATCTCATATTAAATTTAATAACTANATTAACTACTTAGTGATTAGCAAAGAACTGTTTTATAGCATATAAGATAATCCTCGTTTCAGCACAGAATATTTAGGAAAGTATTTAGTGTATTTAAACTATCCCATGCCTTTGACACTTGTACTTGATTCCAAACTTTTTTACTGTATTCTGATTTTAAAAAATAAACTGAAAATGCTCCTTTAATGAAAATGATTTCCTTTAAACTCTTTTTAAAGGAAATCATTTACATTTAAAATTTACCATTAAATTATTCTACATGAATACATGTGCAAGATGCTTAGCTATAGTAAAAAATAAAAACTAATAATAATA